TTATCACAATCCATACATACATCAACTGTGTAAAGCACATTTGTGCATTCATTGCCCTCATCATTCTCAAAACATTTCCTCTCCACTTAAGCCCCTGGCATTAGGTACAAATATGTTTGATACAATTGATGTATTGATTGTTGTAAGAGATGTAAGAGCCCCCAATAAAATGATCTTTAAAAAAATAAATAAAAATAAAAACAACTAGTTTTTGCTTAGAATGTCTCCTTGGGTTCAGTGTTGCCTAGCCAGTAGTCAGATGTTAAACATTAATTTGTAATTAGGAAACATGTTCCTCAGACTTTACAAAGATGGAAAATTATTTTAAGGAATTTTTTTTCTTGCCCCTTACCAGAAAAGAGTGCTTCACTAATGAGATAAGCAGCCAAAAGAATCGCACCTCGTAGGTCAGATTCTTCCCTTGGCCATCTTGGGTCCTGGCCTTGTGTTTTTCAGCTCCTGGATGTGGTAACTCATCTGGCCAACCAGAATCTGCGCCTGCTGGTCCTGGGCCGGAAGCACATGCTAACGCCGGGTTCCCGGTGGAAAAAGGATGAGATGGAAAAGGTGCAAAGGCAAGCAAGCTGTTTCTTTGCGGACAACATGTAAGTATTGAAGATAATAGGTCCATTGACCTAGGTTCCAGCGTAGGGCTACCTGCTCGTTAGTTACTTGTTTTGGGTATTTTTTAAAAGGCATGCATGTATGTATTTTCAACATCATTCCAAAAACGATTTGGGGCAATTGATAGAAATACAGCTTCTACAGCAAGATTAACTTAAAGGCTCGGAGAAAAGAGGATAAAGGAGAAATGGGAGGAGGACAGAGGCAAGGATAAGACTAGTAAACTGAATTATCTACTTGCCAGCGTCCTAAATGGATCCTTCACCAAACTAGTAGCTTCTGTCTGTGCTCTGGAGAAACAGTAGTGAACAAGACAAAGGCCATATCTTCCTGGGACAGATAAGCAAATAACAGATACTGTCATTTCAGGCAGCGATCACTGCTCTGCAGGCAATCAGGCAGAGGAAGGCGGTAGAAAAGGGGAGCTCAGTCAGTCAGGAGTTGTGGATAAGCCGTTTGAGAAAGGGAGAAGAGGGGACAAGCGAGACAAGGTGAACAAGGAGTGGGTTTGGCTGTTGGAGGAGCAGCAAGGCCACTGTGGATAGGGTACAGCAACACGAGAGACAGTCGGAGGTTCTGTGTTGGGATCCATGCAACTGACAGACTATCTCATTTACCTCATAAGCGAGCCAGGGGTGTGGATTGTATTCTATGCAGAAAGATGAAGTTGTACTGATATTTGACGCTGAGCTTCCTTAGAAACCAAAGGAACATGGAAAACACGGTTAGTAACAAAAGTTAGCATCCATTACAAAAAACAACTAGCTAATCAGGAGAACCACAGATTATCAACAACACATCAACTTCTTATGTGTATCTAGTTTTTCATACTATTTATGTTGACAAACATTTATTTCCAACTTCCCACAGGTAATTAATGAGTTGGTGTGCCTCAGACCCTGGGTCTGAGTTTCATTACTTTGAATGCAGTAAGTCGAAGATTTGTCAGCATTCCCCAAAGCATATATTCTTTAACAAGGCAAAATAGCTTTATGCTTGAAGCAGGAAGCTCAACCCTCATCTAGATGCCAAGCCAGACCTTTTTTTTTTTTTTAAACCTTCGCTCAAAGTCTTTGTTGTTGTTGTTTATTCAGAGGCGGGACGCTGCCATTTCTCCAAGAGTCGAAGACAGTAGTAATGCTTTTCAGAAAATCACTTTAGACAATGGTGAATTGGCATTGGGAAAACAGGTGTGGAAATTACTCCCCCTTGGCTCAAGTCCTACCTGAGAAGACATCTCCTTCATACAATGTTTTGAATATTAAATGAGATAATACATGTAAATACATGCTGCCAGCCAGTCGATGCTGATGCATAGGAACCGTATAGGACAAAGTCGAACTGCCCCTTCAGGGCTCGAAGGCTGTAATCTTTATGGAAACTGACTGTCCTATCTGCCTCTCATAGAGTGTAAGGAAAGTTCCAGTTCCCAACTTTTGTGTGAATCATGCCTTGCAAATTCTCAGTACAGCACCCAGTGCCTGCTCAACACATTGTTAGTTGTGATTATCCTTTTTGTCTCTGAGATTGATCCAATCAAGAATTGCATAACTGCTAAGAATTATAACCAAGAAGCCTGTTGGAACCAGGCCTCATTGCTTGGTTCAGGCTCTGTTTTTGTTGTACTGGCTCCAATCCAACTCCAAACTCAACTGTAAAGGCTAATTTAAAGATCTTCTATGGCTTTGGATTTGAATATTAAAATGTATAGCATTAACTAATGTACTACAAAGAGCCTTTACAAACATAGATGCAAGTTGAATATTATAGTGAATCCTCATGTAACTGTCACCTATCTCCAACAATTATCTGTATTTTGATCATCTTATTTTAAATAACCCCTCACTTTTTTCCTGGAAAAATTTAAGATAGATTCCAGTCGTTTTACCATTTCACTTGAAATTGTTTAGAATGATATGAACTTTCAGTGGTCCTACTTTGAGTAATTTGAGTTAAGGGATATGGCATTTGCCGTCCAAATCCTCCTGGGCTGAGGTGGGTGGTTCCTGCCGTTCCTACCATTTGTGCTGCAGATGTCCTCAAATGCCAAGTGCAGGAGATGAAGATATGCTGAGACTTGGACTTGCAGCTCCTCTCCGAGCTGGAGATACTTTCAGGTTCTGATCCTGCTGACTTACCAGAAGCGTGTTAAGATACCAGTTCGAGCCGGTTATTTGATGGCTTGCTGAGAAAGTGTTGCCCTGCTAGTACTATTTCTGATGCATCACTTTTTTGGTGGGGGTGTGTGTATAGAGGGTAGGAGGGTGGTATGTGAGGGGAAGAAGATATGCCCGTAGAGTGGATGTGGTGAATACATAAAATTTCCTGAGAACACAGAGAACTAACTTTTGAATGTGAAGAGAGGATTGTTAGAATCCTCCAATCCCGAGGGTAAACCAGCTGAGCAGTTAGAGCCCCATCCATTAGTATTCTGTCCCCTCTGCATCCTGTCTGTGTTCTAGAGGACACTGCCTACCCACTAAGGACTGCCAGGTGAGTCACACATAGCATCACTGTGATCATATCTGTCAGGCACTCAGAGGACCACTGAACGGAATTGAAGAATAGAAGACACAGAAGAAAATGCTAGCCTCAGCCTCCTCAGGGCTTCTGCTGACCACGTCCTTTCTCATTTCTGCCTCAGCTCAAAGGATGATCCGTTCCTTCTGTACGCCACCCTGCACTCGGGGAACCACTGCAAGTTCATCACCAAAGACCTGATGCGGGACCACAAAGCTTGTCTGCCCGATGCCAAGACCCAGCGCCTGTTCTTTAAATGGCAGCAAGGACATCAGCTGGCGATTATTAGCAGATTTCCAGGATCAAAGATCACTTTTCAGGTATATTATCCGCTCTATGGCATAGTAACAGACTAATAAGACTACTTATAAGTTCTGAGTGTTTTATTTTTCTTGATTTTGGTTTGGTATTTGGAAATTGTCCTTAGAAATAGCATCTCTGTTTTAGCCAAAGTTTTATACATCTCACCCCATTGCCATCGAGTCACTTCTGACTCATAGCCATCCTATGTAGACTGTAAATCTGTACGGGAGCAGAGAGCCTCATCTTTCTCCAAAGGAGCAGTTGGTTGTTTTGCTCTGTGGATCTTGCATAGCACCTTAAAAAGTTTTATAATCAAAGCCCCAATTAACTGACATACTGAAGCTGCTGGGATGTCATCACTTTTTACTTCAATAGGTCATCAGTTATCAGTTCTCATATGGGCGTCCTTCCCCCAGCTTATTTGTAACATCCTATAATTGCTTCTCTTAGATGGTTTGTCAAATTTATAATTTTCTAAGTAACTCTTTTCCCCTTTTCTGAACCCACTTCTACAGCATGGTTCTCAATTGGGTTCTTTGCATCCAGTTTGGTGATATTGCATGCCACTGAGTTGAGCCCAATTCCTAGTGACCTTCTATGACAGAGTAGAACTGCCCCACAGGGCTCCGTAGGCTGTCATCTTTATGGGAGCAGGTCAAGTCTTTTCTGCTGGGTGCAGAGTGCCCTTTTGGTCAACAGCTCGGTGCTTCACTGCGTGGCACCAGGGCTCTTTCACTCTAGATTGTGTGGTTGTTGTTGTGTGCCATAGAGAGAATTCTGACTCACGGCAAATATCACAGAGGAGAACTGTGCCATGGGGTTTCCTAGGCTGCAGTCTTTGCAAGAGCAGACCACTAGATATCTTGTACCATAGAGTGGCTGGTGAGTTTGAACTACCAACCTTTTGGTTATTAGGCAGGTCACCAAACCCAGGCCACCAAGTCAATTTCAACTCATAGCAACCCAATAGGACAGAATGGAGCTGTCCTACAGGGTTTCCGAAGCTGTAAACCTATGGAAGTGAAAGCCTCATCTTTCTCCTGAGGAGCAGTTGGTGGGTTCAAACTGCCAACCTTTTGGTTAGCAGCCACCACAAGGATGCCTCTTGTGAGAGCAAAGAAAGAAAATCCAAAGGCATCGTATTACAGAAAAATGCACTGGGCCCTGGCCAAATATGGTTCAGTTGTCAAAAAGTATACAACAGATTTATAGGCACTGCAGTATCAATTGATACCCAGGTGGTCTCTCGGTAAAGTGGACACAGCGAAGACTGAGGAACAGGACAGCCGGCCTGATTTCTTCAGCAACAACTGTAAAAATTGAGAGTAAAGAAAAGCCGGCTGAGAGGAAATCCTCGATTAGCAGAAAATTAAGAAATATTTCCATGTAATAACTTCATTTCAATTCTAGTGTAAGCAAATCAACTGTAAAATACATATACACACGTATAATTAAGAAAATGTAAGGAGTAATTTAATGTTGCTAAGGAATCGTCATTAATTTTTAAATGTAATAATGGTATTGATGTTAACTTTTTAAAACCCGAGCCCTTAACTTTTAGGGGATACATAGTGAACATTGTACTTTTCCAGGGTGTGCTTCAGCATGGTCTTGGATGTGGGCGGGAGCAGGCAGCAGGTGGTAAATAAGATTAGCCATGAGTTGGTAATGGCTGAAGCTGGGTGATGAGTACATGGGAGTCCAGTATAACTTTTTGAAGCCTTCTTGTATTCTTTTTCCCTCATACACACAAACTCAATAAAGGCAACCAAAGGAATTCTGTATCCGATAAGTGCAACGGTCATTTAGAGGGTCCTTAACCTTAAAACTGAAACTCAAAGAGAAGGAACTCTTAATACCCCTTTGCTGAGCTGGCTGCTCCTTAAACATCCCCGAGAAGGAAGTGAGGAAATGTGCCTGGAACACGCTGAGAAGTCGTCAGGGGAGAGCGGGAAATGGCCGGGGGACCCAGTCGTGCTGTTCTCAATGTCTGGTTCCCTGTTTAACTCAACAGCATGTCCTCAGATACGACACGGTGGTGCAAACAACGGGGGACTCCTGGCATATTCCGTATGATGAAGACCAGGTGGAAAGATACTCCTATGAAGTGCCGAACAAATGGCTTTGCCTTCACCGAAAGACATAACGGACTGTGCTGAGCCCGTGGCGGAGTGTCCCCTGGGGCGACAGCAGAGCTCTTAGGTTAATGCTTATTTGGGGTGTTACCTGTGTCCCGAAGACACAAAGATTCCATTAATACTGTTTGTTTCGGTTGGTCTGCATGCTAACAGCTGATTTTTCAATTAAATGTGATATAAGTTCTTTTCATAATCAGTTGCATGTTTTTTTCCTAAGATTTGTTGTCGAATGTTTATCCGTGAATGGGGGACTCATTGCAGAGTGGAACCTACATTTCTCCTATCGGACCAACTGTTCCCCTTGTTTGGGCAACACCTAGTGCTCCTGGCTCCCATCTTGCCACTCTGGCCTCCTCTCCCAGGGCAGAACCAGTCCATCTGGCTCTGAGCTACTTGTGCTGTTTCTGAACCCCTTCTCCCAACCTGGCATCCTCTCATTCTCCACATTATATCTCCTACCCACTCTGAAGAGTCCTCTGTAAGGCCCTGATCAAGATACCAAAGGCTGAGCAGTAAATTTTAGTTACTTACTACCCAGTGATATGGGTTCAATGAAAAGAAGAAATTTGTCATTTTGACTTCGTTTAGTAAAATGATTAATAGCTACCAGTTTTACCTCCTTGCTACATCGCTCACCTCTGCTTTTGGTTTCAGCTCAAAATATTCATGTTTGCAACTCCTTCTGACAGTTCTTAGCTCACCCAGACTCACTTCTCAATTCCTTTAGTTTCCATTCTCTGCTGCATCTTCCCCAGAGAAAACCTCTCCCCTTTGGGGGCATTATCTCCTTAACTTACCTGAGATCATTGGCTGGAGTCTTTTCTTCTTGTCCACCATAGTTGGACCTCTCTTTCTTGTTCAGATCATTCATTTTGAAATTCACTTTCTCCAAGAAGGTTCTCTATACCTGTTCCCATCTTTAGTCACCAGGTCTAGAAATATGGAGGGAGAATCATGTAGACAAGAGAATGTCATTTATAATTATTTCAGATTCCAGTTTTTATATTAAAAAGCCATTCATCTCTAAAAGGCAGCATGCCCATATCCTTAGTCATTTCTAAGGCCCAAAAAGCCCATAAGATGGTTATGTATTTTTTTTTCCTCATGAAGACTGACAGAAGTTAAAATGATATAGAATCCCCCTCACACTTTAGTCTGAAGCACGTTTTGTTTCTCCTGTTACTTGTTTCTAGTTCTTTAACACGAAAACCAATGGGTGTTGAGGGACATTTGGCAGAGGGAGGACAGGTGTATGGGACAGGAGAGGTGGAGGGCCCAGGGGAGGCTCCTGTCTCAACTACAGCAACTGTTGGTGGCCCAGTCACCTCCATGTCCCATTGACTGTGGTGTAAAAAGTGTGTATATCTCTGTATGTGTACATATATACACAGCTATTTTCTTCTCAATACTTGAAACGTTGCCGCTGTACCCGGAGGAGGAGCACCCAGCTGCCCGCCCCCTCAGGCGCCTTCCAGCTGCCCACGGAGTGTTATAGAGGATACCTGATGATCGTGGATTTCTAACAGCCAACCAGGCTGTCCATCCTGGTCCCTCCACAGATTGTGGTTTTTAAACCTGTTGGCTTTCAATTGTGTCATACCTGTAACCGGAATAAACCTTTGAAATTGTAAAAAAAAAAAAATATATATATATATATATATATATATATTATCTAGGATAATTAAAAATGGGAAAAAAAGCTAACTATCCATTGGTATAAGTCATATAAATTATGATTTATATATCCAATGGCATGTTAAAGAGCCACTGAAGTTATGATACAACTTTACATTGATTTATATGAAGATATTCATGTAGGTGGAATAAACATTAATGTCACTTACATAAAATCATACAGATGCACTGAGTTAGGGTGTGTATGATGCTCAGAGAGAAAAGTAAAATGTAAGGGACTGTGAAGATCACCATGATCTTCCTGATCACCATGATCTTCCTGGGATGTTCTTCCCACAGGCATCCACTTTGCTCACTTCCTCATTTCTCCAGTTGTCGCTGAACCTGTGCTGCCCTCGTCTGTCCTCCTGGCTCTGGACATCGCCCTGTCAGAACCGTCTGTCCGTCTGTCTGTTGTAGCTGCTGCTGCTGCTGTGAGTTGCCATAGCGCCCACGACAGACTCATGACAATCCACGTGTGCTGCTCCATCCGGTTCTCCAGGCTGTGACCTTGCAGACAGGTCACCAGGCCCATTTTTTGAGGTGCTTCTGGTGGGTTCCAAACAGACCTTCTAACTTGTAGTTCGACACATTGAACGTTTGTACCACCCAGGGACTCCTTCCATGGCACCAACAACCTTCTGGCTTAGCAGAAATTTTACTTCTTTAAATTTGAAAATTCAATGAGGGTATAGACTTGTTTGTTTGTGTTAACTAATGTATCTTGAGTGCTAAGTACAATTTAAGGAACAAAGTAGGCATTATAATTTAGAAGACGGCGAGCATCTATAGAAAATAATCAGAGAAAATTATAGAAAAATCCCGCCAATATTTCCAAATTTAGAGAGTTTTTGTATGCACGAACATGGATGAACGCATTAAAATAAATTCCTGCATATCAAATACTCAAGTAATAAAGCAGTACTTTAAAATTGTATCATGAAATAATCCAGACATGTAGACGCTGCAAAGACTTTAATAACAAACATCATATACTTAACACTCAAAATTTGGCCTAGACTAAGTAATGTCTTCCTTACAAAAGTGACTGCTTTCCTAAATTTGGTGGTTTTCATCCTCTTGTCTTTAAAATTCTGTTGTATTCATATGTCAGGGCAAGGCAAAAAGTATGGCTACTAAGGTTCTAGTTCTTACACATAAATATGTACTCCCAGTAAAACGTGTTTAATCATGTCTCAGTCATAGGCCGCAACCAAAGTCTCTCAGTAATTCACTCGGCTTCGTGTCATTAGGGTGCCTTCAACAAAAGGTTCAATCAGAACAATCAAGGGACCCACTGGACCAGCTGAGTTAAGAGAGGTTGCCTCTGAAAGTTACGGCACTGTTCTTTGGAATCTCAAAAGCGTAAACTTGACAAATTTGACACCAGATGCTCATAGAGGCTTATTATGAAGAAATTTTAAGAAAACTGACAACTGCAGTGGTAAGAAAAAGACCAGGAAAACTGAACCAAGGAATTTTTCCCATCACTAGGATGTACCCATTCATTCTTTGAGGGTAGTAAAAGCTGTCCTAGGAGAATCTCATTGGGAAACCTGGCCCCATTTACCGTGTATCTCATCTTGCCCCTGCCGCCATCTTTTTGTTCCCCAAACTTGAAGAAAACTTCAAAGGAAGACAGTTTGAGTCCTTCAAGTTTGCCGGGACTTCCATTTGGACGTGGGGTAAGTCAAAGAGCACCGAATTCTTTGGGGAAAGAGTAGAGAGATGCAAACGCCCCCGTCAGGCGGAGGAGATAGGAAACAAGGGGCTCGCATTTTGATATGTTTGTCCAGTAAAGGTTTCTAGGGTGTTTTTTAGCAACACTTCTTGACTTACGTAAATCCCTAAGTAGTCTAGTGCATGAACAAAAGTTTCTTAGATTATTTTTCAGACTGGAATCATTCTCTGTGTACTATTCTATGATTTGCTTTGTGCTTTTGCTGAACATTAAGTTGTTGAAATTCATCCATGGTTAGCATAGTTACACCTTCTTTTTATGGTTATAGTGTTCAGTTTTATTTATTTAAACTATTTATTTATTCACTATTGTTGTTGTATTCAGTTTTATTCATTCAAACTACTTATTCATTCATTCTGTCAGTGGATAGTTAGATTTTGTTCTCATCTCATGTAGATCATTTTATAATCTACCAGCATGTTTTCTTTTACTGATGAATATATTTCAAATATTAAGGGTAGAATTCTTACTATTCTTCAAATAGCCAAAAACTGACTGTCATTCAAATGTCTATCAAAAGGATCATAAATTTAAAAATTGAAATGTATCGGTTATAGTGGTAAATTACCAACATGAAACAACTCAGATGTATTTTAAAAGTATGAAAACAAAAAAAATTAGTTACACGTGGTAAAATGAATGATTCAAGAGCAAGCAAAACTAACAAGAGAAAAATCAAAATGGGCTTGTTTGAGGAGAAGTCAGAAAATTCGGGGGGTGGTACAAAATTCTATTTATTTGATCTGTGACAATAAAAGGTATGTGTATATTAATCAAAATGCATGAGAATAAACGTAGGTTTACTTTGATAACACCACAACTCAATAAAATGTATTAACATTAAAAAGATATATAGGAAATTAAAAGTAGCTTCATTTACATAAAGTTGCATACATATCTATGGCTGCTGTAACAAAAGTACCAAAAGTGTGTGGGTAGTCTTAGTGAAAAGATATTTATTTTCTCATAGTCAGACACTAGATGTCCAAATGCAGGGCTCTAGCCCTAAGGGAAGCCTTTCTCCCGCTGTTGGCTCTGAAGGGAGGGCCTTGTCTCTGCATGGCATCTGTCTTCTCTCATCTGGGCTTACTCTGTGCCGAATCAGCGCCTATTATATTTCCAAAGTGACTGGCTTTAAAACACACCACACACTGACATGCTCACTAACAAGACAAAGAAAACCTGTTACCAAATTACATTCACAGATATAAGGATGAGAATTTAAAACACCTTTTTGAGTGGGGTCACAACTCAATGCATAGCATGTATATGATGGTGTACAAAAAAAGAACGGAATTTTTTTTCCAAAGCTATGTATTAAAAAATTTTTTTTAAAAAAAACCCTTCTCACTTTCAAAGTACTGTCCATTACACTTAATACATTGGTCAAATCTGCAATTCCATTCTTGGAAACACTTTTCAAATCCATCCATTTGGATGCCTGACAACACCTCCCTTGTTTTGTTCTTCACCTCTTCTACATCATCAAATTGCTGTCCTTTCAGGTCCCTCTTCATTCATGGAAACTAAAAGATGTTGCAAGGAGCAAGGTCAGTGAGTAAGGTAACGTGGGGCAAGAGAGACATGCTGTTTTTTGCCCAAAACTGGCACACTGAGATGGCTGTGTGAGCAGGTGCATTGTCATGGTGGCAAAACCAGTCCCCCAGCTGCCACAAATCAGGCCTTTTCTGTCCCACACTGTTACCCAATCTTTTCAGAACCAAATAAAAAGCTTGATTAACATTCTGACCTGGTGGAATGCCGAACTTAAAATGCGC